GCAGGAATGGAGTCCCTCCCCTAACCCCACCTCCCTCAAGCCTTCTCCTTCAGCCTCAGCAAGGAGGCAGGCCCCAGAGCCAGCGCAGGCCACGATGACCTGGACTCAGCACCCCGAGATCCCACTGTCCACACACTGCCCACCTGGGTTGCAGGGCTCCTCGCCTGGTCTGGCCCAGGGAGGGGACATGCCCTGTTCCCAGAGCTCTTGAGAACCACAGACCTCAGGGCTGGAGCAAGCCAGTGGTGGGCGACGCAGAGATCTTCTCCAGCCTGGAAAACGGGGGCCAGGGTGACTCCCAGCTCCTTCCTGGCCTCTGGTTTGAGGAAGTGAGGTAGGGGGGCTTCGGATTCACAGAGGGCTTTAGGGGAAAGGGGCAGGGGCTAGCTGGATATGGAGGGGAAAGGACACCGGAGCACACCCGGCTGTGAAAGTCATTCTATTTTAAATGTTAAATGGGAAAGAAAATTTGACCTGTCCCAAGCCGGGAGCTTGCAGAGCCAGCCCACCCATGTCAGGCGGCTGCCTACCCACCCCGGAGCCAGAACAAAAAGAGCTGCAGCCCTCCCCAGTCCCCCGGGCCCCTGCCAGTGGGCCCTCTGGAGAGCTCCCTCAGGCCCCTGCACGTTGGAAGCACAATTGTCTCCCCAAGTGGAGGAAAAGGAACGGCCCGAGCCTACCGAAGAGGTGTTTATTTTTTAACTGCTAACAGCCCCCCCGCTCCATCAAAGCTCACAGGCCTGAAGGCCTCTCAGAACCCACTCTGGGGTGGGTGGGTGGATGGGACTCAGCCAGAACCCTAATGTCACAGTGTAGCACCGGCTGCCTGTTCTGCAAAGAATTTCACTTCCCGCGGTATTCGTGAAACCACCTGATGCCATCAGGCCTGAGCCACCACGCAGAATGTTTCCCCAGCCTCTTCAACTTTGTCGCTTTGGAAATTGACCCCCTTGGAATTGAGTGGTAGCATGGGACAGAAAGGAGGAGGTGGCACGGGGCACCCGTCAGACAAGGCCCACCCCTGCCTCACCCATGGAAACCAGCCTGAGTGCAGAGATCAGCTTGGCTGGTCTGAGGCCACCTTCTTAGCCAAAAATCCCAGGGCTCGTTTTCAGGAAATCGGTAGGGAATAACACGGGGACTTCCCCCCTTCCCCGGGCAGATGCTAGTTCAGTTGTTTCCACCTAATACCCTCTTAGCTGCATGTGTATTTATTTATGAGGACCCTGGTGGACTGCAGCCTTCTCTTTGTGGGAAATGAGTTTGTGATAAATCAGAAGCGAGTCCACGATGACAATTGTTTTCCAAACCCCGCCTCTGCCCTGCTCCTCGCTGGCAGACCCACCGCAAAGGAGTGAGGGTTCGCAGCTCCCAGGATGGAGACCGGGCGAGGGTGGAGCCCAGGCAGCTGCATCTGGTCTGTTTTAATTTAACTGTATTTAATTTGTTTTCAGAATTAAAAGTCAAATATGGTTTTTAACAGTCCTAATCCTCTTCGGCCCTGCCTTATTTTACTCGTTTCTTAACTTCGCCATCCAATAATGTGTATGGGTGCCTGTTGGGAGCAGGCATTATTCTAGCACCCAGCACACCGCAGCGGGACGACGCCCTCGTCTTCATAGAACTTACCTTCTGGGAACCAGCAGTTAGCGTAATGGCTATGTCGCTGGACTCCCACGTAGCCGACCGCGGCTCACGTCCCGGACCCGGTGGCTTAAAACTCACGCCGGGCGTGTGTGCGTGTGTGCCCAAGATCCCAAGAGGAGAATGGAGGAGAAGGGATTGCAGCGTGACCATCCCCCTTGGGGGGTGATTTCTTGCTTTCTGTCTCTATGTCTCTCTGTCTGTCTGTCTGGCGAGCACACGCGCCCTGTAGTGAAAATCTCTTCAAAAAAAAAAAAAACACAGAACTTACCTTCTGACGAGGGGAGATGGACGGGACGTGTTCTCGCGCGATCTGCTGCCAGGAGAGCCAAGCGCCGCAGGGCAGGTAGTGCAGGTGTGGAGAGGGTTGTGCTCTGGGCAGGGCGGACAGTAACCCCGACCTGCAGCTCCCTGGGCTCCCCCGGGTGGGCGTGAGCTCAGCGTGCTCATAGATCAAAGGCCGGTGCAGGCACCAACTCCCTACACCAGGGAAGAGGGTGCTGGAGGCAACCTGGCGGGCCTGCGGGGAAGGGTATTCTGACTTCTGGAGTGAAACAGGAAGACATCAGGAATCTGGCAGGAGGAGGCCTTAGAACACTCTGCTTCCTGTGCTCACTGGGCATGGCAGGCCTGGCCGGGTAAGGCCGGCTGGAAAGGGCACGAGGCCTGAAGGTGTTCAAGAAGGAAGGCCAGGGGATCTGTGAGGCCTGGAGGTGGGACGTACGAGAGGGGCCAAAGAGCTGGAAAGGGAAGAACAGGATCTCCACTTCCTGGCCCGAGAGGAGGGGTAGTGTGGGGTCCGAGTTCTGCTCCAGACGCTGCAGGAGGTGGCGGGGCAGCTGCTGGTGGAGCCGCCACTTGGATGGAGGTGGCTGTTGGAGGGGATTACAAAGCCCTGAGTGTCATAGAGAGCCCCGCACAGTTTCCTGGACAGAGGAACGAAGGAGCCCAGGGAGAAGGCCCAGAGCCCTCGAAGATGCAGAGGTTTGGGTAAAGAGGACGGGCCTTGTGGAGACTGACAGGCCCCGTGCAGCGTGAAGGTCTGGACCAGCCTTCAGCCCATCGGGAAAATACGCTGCGCTAAGTGTTCTTTGGTGGAGAGTACCCAGGGCCGACTGGCAGGTAAGAAGGACAAGGACAAGAAGCTGGGGCCGGAAGCCCCCGCCCTGTGAAAGGGCCACGCGTCCCTGCTCAGCTCTGCCTGAAAGCATACCATGGCAAGGGGACTCGGCTTTACGAAAGGAACCGCGTAAGGCGCCCCCCATGCCACTTGCCAGCGGCGTCTGGCTCACACACAGCTTTGTGGGAGCACGGGCTCAGGGAAGGCGAGATGAAGTGGCACTGTCCCTGCTCAGGCCGCATCTCAGCTCGCTGCTCGCTATGCCAGGGCTGCTCAGGAAGAGCTGGGGAGTTTGGGCAAAACAGGGTCTCGGACCCGGTTCTGCTGCCCTGCCACCGTCCATGACCTTCTCTTTAACAAGCTCCATTTCTCCATCTCAAGAGGGACGCTTGGCCCAACCCCATGGCCGCCTGCCCTTGACCGCTCAGCTCTTGGGCCCTAGGCACTACCCATAGTGCCACCCTGGCCTCGGCCACACACAGGGCGTGGGCCCCATTTCTGTCCCCAGCCCTTCGCTGGCTCCCAGTGTGGGACGCAGGGAGGGGTGCGCTCCTTGACTTTGGGTCTCACTGGAGAGCATGAGTTTGGGGCCGCTGAAGTCAGACCCCGTTGGTGAAGAATACCGTGGCCCTGGTGACCACCTCGCCGCAGCGCTCATGGCTGACGGCACGTTCCTGCCCCGCACCAGCACGAGTTTGGCCTCTCCTCCCAGGGCAGCTGCCCATCAGCCACATCTCAAGGAGGGTCGCGGGAAGGGTGAGAGCGCAGGTGTGTGGCTCCACCACGGCAGTTTGTCCGGCTCCTCGCGCGCCAGCTGGGCCGAGCATGTGCCTGACCCCACACTGCCCTTTCCTCTGGTTTAAGCAGATGGACGAGACCGCAGACGTGGCGGCAAAGGGTCTGATTCATCTTGTTTTATTGCGATGCTCCCTGAGCCAGGTCACTGGGCCTGGGCCAGCTCCTCCACCCGGTTTAGACATGGCAATGGGCAACGACTAGGAAGGAAGCTGCCTCTCTTCCCGCTGCTTGGCTACCCGGGAAGAGCCCAGGAGCTGAAGGCAAGGCCTGGGCTAGGCCTGCAGGCCCTGGGGCGACCCGGCATCCCCAGGGTGACACCTACCCAGTGCCATTGCGCTGGGCCGTCTGCCCTTCCCCAGACACTGGGGACGGGCTGTGTTTCTGCTGGGACGTACACTCCCCCCAGCACGCTGCTCAGTGAGGAGAAGTGGGAACACGCTCAACGCCAGGGGACGCGTGGCTGGGCGTCTGTCTCTGAGTTCAGTTCGTCACCCTGTCAAGCGCAGTGAGTGGGGAGGAGGAGAAAGCAGGTGTGTGTCTCAGAGTTCCTCCAGGATCCTGGCGGAGGCTCCCAGAGGGTGACAGAGAAAGAACAAAGCCGGCTCGGGTGAGACAGTCCACTGCCCTACCCTCTACAGACAGCGACAGACCCACTATTTCAGCAATGAAAGGGGCCACGAGGGACGGGCCGGCCCTCACTGAGAACACCCGAGGTGCGGCCTCTGATCAGCAGGGCACAGGCTGTGCGGGTAGGGTTGTCCAACCAGTGCCCACGACTTTCTGGGGTCCCCAGGCCTTCATCACTGGTGACCCAACACACCCCCAGCCTTGGAGACACCCCTCCGGTCTGTCCCAGAGGAGCAGGGAAGCTGGAAAGGCATCGTCGTGGAGGCCAGACCGAGACGCCATCCAGGCAGGAGGATGCCTCTCCATGCCAGCCCTCCTTGCTCTGCAGTCTGCCCGGGGCGAGGGTTCTGAACTGAGGCCTCTCGGCTCCCAGAGGTTGCTACTTCAGGAGGCCCCCCTACAGGGTAGGGAGTGAGGGAGCAGCCCCCCGGGGCTCTCTCTGCAGGAGGTGCAGACGGCCACTCAGTTGACATACTGGTTCCGGCCCAGGTGGGGCGTCTCGGTGAACTGTATCGCGGGGCCTGCCATCGTCTCCTCGAACACGATGATCTGGGGAGAGAGGGAAGCCTGTGGTGGGCGGCGAGAGACCAGAGGCAGCAGGGGTGGGGGGAGGTTTGGGGGCCGGGCTAGGGGGCACAAGGACCAGGGTCCTGTCATCGCCGAGGAGAGAGGAAGGGGCTGGAACTGTGCCCTTTCCCCTGCCCTGACCAGAGGTTCCCAGGGAAACAGCAAGGCCAGGGGGGGCCAGATGGGAAGGGAAGGCCAACGTGTCCCCACCTGGTTGAGTCCTCTGTCCAGCCAGGTGCCAGGGAGGTACAGGGTCTCCTGGGGGCCAATGTTCCAGTAGCGTCCGAGGTTCTGCCCATTAATGAACACAACCCCCTTCTCCCAGCCCTTCAAACAGAGTAGGGACAGTGTTAACCTACCTCAAAGTCACCAAATATGAAGTCCCACTGTGAGGCAGGCACGGGCGAACACACACCACACGTTCCTCTCAGCTTCACGAGGCCAGTGTGAGCCAGCGTGTTGAGAGCCAGGAGGGCCAATCAGTGGGGAGTCCCAGCTCCTCCCCCCAGCTCCGAGTCGCCCAGGCAGGGCTCAGACTGGACACGGAACCTGGGTCCAGGGAAGCACCAGCAAGTGGTTCTGCTTTGAGTCCACAGACACTGCCCCCCAAGGGCGGGTACCAGAGCCCCTTCCACACAAGGCAACGTAGAGACAGGGTGACTCTGGGCCCAGGGGTTCCAGAAGGCTCCGCCAAGCCAGGTACACACGCTTTTGGCTCAGAGTCCCCTGAAAGGAGATGGGAGGATGCGGGCAGGGCGAGGAGCTACTGACCTCAAGCTTCAGAAAGGTGTCGGAATGGGAAGGGCCAACTATCAGGGCCGCCAAGAGGAAAGCAGGGAAAGTAGGCACTTCTGGGACAGAAATCCATTTTTTGGAGTCAAACCTAAGGACAGAACAGGGGGTAGGAAAGAGAAGGAGGTACCTTCTCGAATCCTACACTCTATTTCTAAGGCATGCTCCTTCCCCACCAAGCCCCCCAAGCCCCTGCCCCCCAACCAGGTAGAGGAAGGCGACAAGCTGTGCTGAAAAGCCCTGTTCGGCAACACAGGCTGCCAGCGCTGCTCCTCCCTGCCATGGGCGCGGCCGGCCTCTGGCCGGCCCCCCAC